CGGAGGGAAGGACCTGTAGCTTGCCGCTAACGTGTGGGAGCGCGTTATGGTGGCTCTAATTGCGGCGGTGCAAAAAGCCCCGCCTCCCCCCCACGTTATCCAGCCTGTGTTATCCCCCACGTTATCCAGGCCTTGGTTCATTCAGGCTTTGTTTAGCTCACATGCAATACAAGAATAAACAAAAAGCGTCCACAGGAGTGGCAGTATGGATAAGGACTGCCAGGCTTTCAGGCAGAAAGTGAAGGATGAAGGGGGTGTAAAGTTGCCAGATCCAGGTTGGGAAACTCCTGGAGATTTGGGGGTGGAGTCTGGAGAGGACAGGGACCTCAGTGTGTACAATGCCATAGAGTCCACCCTCCAATACAGCCATTTTCTTCATGGGAACTGATCTCTGTCACCTGACAATGACTTCTCATTACGCAAGCTCTTATAATTCTGTGGGATCCCCAAGTCCCACCTGGAGACTGGCATCCCTATTTTGTGCACATTCACCAGGGAGTAAGCCACACCGAACATATTGGGACTTATTTCTGAATAGACATGCACAGGACTGCACTGGAAGCTAGACAAAGGGGAGCATTCCCCTCTTCTAAAGGCCCACTCACCACCCTTTGTATCACAACAAAGTTTTAACTGAAAAACTTTACACCATCATGTACCATAACACACACACACACACACAACTTTTTTCTTCTGGGCAGGGGTCATTTCGTAGAAAAAGATGTGCAGGAGCTCATTAGCATAACTTACTTGCATATGCCACACCCCTGCATCCATGTTCTCCAGGGCAACTGATCTTTGTAGTCTGGAGATGAGCTATAATTCTGTGGGATTCCCAAGTCCCACCTGGAGACTGCCATCCCTATTTTGTGCACATTCACCAGGGAGTAAGCCACACCGAACATATTGGGACTTATTTCTGAATAGACATGCACAGGACTGCACTGGAAGCTAGACAAGGGGGTGCATCTTGCTCTGACTGAGGGCTGCTGGGAGCAGGAGGTGGGGCTTGTTGCATGTGCCCGCCCCCTTGGCTCTTTACTGCCGGAGCTCCGCTCCTGTGTGCTCCTGCAGGAAATGACCCCTGCTTCTGGGCATAGACACCTAGACAGATTTCTTTTTAAGACAACTGCTTTAAAAGGATGGTTCCAAATAGGGTGTTGTGGTCCTTCAGAATGGCCACAGGATCACACTGAATTTCTGCAGGGTCTAATCAAGGAAGATCTGTGGCTTGCTCTGTGATATCTTCGGGGTCCCAGTGTGTGGAAGTCATGTGGAGGGATGGGGAGATAGACAAGGAGGTCTATGAAATCTCAGGAGTCAAAGCTCAAATTAATTAAATAAACAAATTTGTATTTCCACTGAAGTGAAGAAGCTTAGTATAACTTAGTTTAGTATAGCATAGTAGAAGAAGCTTAGTATATATGGTGTGCGACTGAACAACAAATAAGCATTAGTATATTTGTACTGAGTAATTTAAGAGTCATGGGTTACTAATTTCAAGTGGGCAGTATAAGCAACAATTATAGGATGTGCTGAAGCTACATTGCTGGAAACTCTGGACACAATTCCAGTTAAAAAAGAAAGGAACGATGAAATAGGAAGAACTCATATGGTAAGAGTGTTTGGCAGTTTATCCATTTATCGGTTTAACAAGCTAAACATAATAGTGTGTGTGAGCCCCGGAGTGGTTTTACAGGAAAAATAATTTGAATTAAAGCCGAGAATCTTCACCTGGATTACACATAAATTCAAGAGGAAAAATAAAAGAATTGCCGAGCCAGCCAGGAGTCGAACCTAGAATCTTCTGATCCGTAGTCAGACGCGTTATCCATTGCGCCACTGGCCCTGCTTGTAAAAACCGTTTCTTTGCTTCCTCTGTAAGCGTCATCCAAAAACCTGGCAGGGACTGCGATCCCCCCAAGTAGGTGGGGCTATAGGCGGGACTCTTTGTCGAAGGCCACCAATCAAACTTTCCCCAAACGAATTCGCTTTGATCCAATCTTCTAAGCCCGCGCGCCACTTTCGCTTTTAGGGGGCGGGCCCTACATTGAACACGAGTGACCAATCCCTCTTTGACGCTTGCCCGGCGCTACAGGCGAGAGTCAGAAGACTGAGCCCCGCCCCCTTCCGCCCTTCCGATTGGAGCGGAGGTTGGTGCGCCTGGAGGGGTAGGCTCGGCCAATCCGCGGCTCGCTCCTAGCTGTTCCGCAACTCCCCCCCTTCCCTTCTCCGGGCGGCCGAAATGCTTTCCGATTAGGTTTGTCCCGCGAGGGGTCCCGTCCCGTCGGCCTTCGCACGTCCGGCGAGAAGAGCTGGGCGAGAAGCCGGAGCCGGGTGGCGCTTGCAGGAGGAGGCGATGGCGGCGGCCGCGGGAGGAGCCTACGCGAACCTGAAGCTGTGAGTCACCGCAGTGGGGAGGGAGAGGAGCCCTTGGCCCGTGAATGTGTGGGGGCAGCCCCGGGGGGAGAATCCCCCGCCTTGCTTCTCTCCCCCTCAGCCCAACTCCTGTCTCGGCCGGGACGTCTCCCAAAGCGCTCCTCTCAGCGGCGACTGAAGCGCTGCAGCCGGGCCGGGCTCCCTCCTGGCTCTCCTCCTCGCCCTCGCCGGCTCCCTCCCCCGCCTCCGTCCCCTGCGTCTTTTCCTGGTCCCCTCAGGCAACTTACTCCCCCCTCTCTCGCTTTCTCAGTCTCCCCCCCCCAACATCTCCAAGCCCCCCCTCCCCCCCCCGCTTCAGGCTCGCTCTGCCCGCCTGTCGGTGGAGGGATGAGCAGGGAGGGTCGCGCAGCGCTTCTGTATCATCACGGCCGCTGAAGCAAAATTTCCGTCGCTCTCTCAGGGGGCCCCTGGACCGCCTCTCCAGATCGGTTTAGCGCTCCTCTCAGGTGCGGGCGGGCGGCGAGGTGGTCGTCTGCATCGGGCTCTGCCGCAAGCAGTGCCGGATTTACGCATAAGCTAAATAAGCTACAGCTTAGGGCCTCGCAATCTGCTGGGGCTCCCTCCTCATGGAAAACCGTGCGCCTGGCTAACCCCCACCCACCAGACGGAAGGTTCATTTTTTCTCCTTCGCCTCCTGCCATTGCGCAAGGGGATCCATTTGAGAGGCAAAGAATGGAGCCTGACAGCTGGGGCGGGCTGAAAATTTCCTTGTCGGTTGACTGGTGGGCGGTGGCTTCCTTGATCAGCATTAAGGGTCTCTCACAGGTTACACCTTCTTGCATGGAAGCTTTCCCCCTGCACAAGTTTCTTATACAGAAGCACTTCAACTCAGTTCTTTACCTCCACTACTCTGTTCTACATGCCTGTCAATGGTTAGGATCAGAGGTCATTTCGGGGGGGATCCCGGGGGATCGCAGTTCCCCCGGCTGAGGTACGGGGGTGGGGCACATGACGAAGCCCCGCCCCCTGCTTCCGGCCTCCCTGCTTCCGGCCCTCATTCAGCCAGGAGGAGGCAGGAGAAGAGGGAGGGTAAGTTGCTTCCTCCCTGCCTCTCCCCACCCCTGCCTGCCTGGGGCCAGGGAGGGCCTTCGTGGGGCTTCCTTGCACTCCCGCGGCCTTGCAGGTCCACCGGGGCCCCTCATGGGGCTCGGCAGTGGAGCTGCAAGGCCACCGCCGGCGGCTGGGACCGTTGGGGGCGGGGTGTGTGGCCTTATGACACACGTCCGGTGATGTCGGGGTGTGGCCTTATGACACACTTCTGGTGATGTCAGGGGGTGTGGCATATGCTAATGAGTTCCCCTAGCTCTTTTTCTACGAAACGACCCCTGGTTAGGATGTCTTTTTCTGTTCCTTTACCAGTTATGCTTCCCCCCCAACATCATTCATGTAAGATAGTTACTGTCTTTTAAAAAAGGAAACTAGTTCCTGTTCTGACCATTGTGGCCTGCAGTGATAACACAGCTGATTTGAAGGTGAAGGTTCACTGCCTCTGTTCAGTGACCCTGGTATTCTTTGGTGGTCATTTCAAATTCACCTGTGAAAGCACATGTCCCAAAAGCCATATTTTGACTTTTTGAGCGTTTACTAGATATTGAATTGGTTTCATGGTGGAGGAAAGTGCAGTCAAGTCGCAGCCTACTTAGAGGAACCCTTCATGGGATTATCAAGGCAAGAGACATTCAGAGGTGGTTTGCCATTGCCTGCCTCTGTGCAGTGACCCTGGTATTCTTTGGTGGTCTTCCCATCTGAGTACTAACCAGGGCTGACCCTGGAGATCTGACAAGATAAGGCTATCCTGAGCTATCCAGATCTTCTGCCTGTAGGTATTAATGAATAGCCTAATGATCTGGGTAAGTAGGAATCTATGTTCCCAAATTCATTCTGTCTTCCTCGGTATTGTAACATGACCTTTCCGTCCTACGTTTTCAAATAGTTAGACTACAAACTGTCTGTAATTTCCACTGGAGTTCTTAATTCTTAAAACGAGTATTTTTAGTGGAGTTTTTACTTGTGTGACTTGCTGTCTGTTTAAAATTTCTGATATTAACCAGAAGGGAGGAGCTTGTAAGCAGCTTTTCAAATGCTCTTGTTAGTTCAGTTGCTGGGTGTCTGTTTGTTCTTCTTTACCTCTGCAGTAAGCCTAGTGAAGTAGCTTTTAGCATCTGAACATTAAAATCAAAAGTAGGAAAGCTGTTTCAGTGTTGCAATGCTGCTTACGAATTGTAAATTCCTTACAGGTTATCTCTGCTGTACTCTTGCCTTGCTCTACAACTGTGTTTCCAGTTTCTCGAGGCATGCTCATGTGACCCTGTGAAATGATCTTGGAATGGAATGTTCTGCCTTCTGAGATAGCAAGTACTTTGATAGGACATATTCCTCCGTTTACACTAGCTTATTTGCTGACATGATGACCATCCAGAGTAATTTAGTCAATTACCTTTGAGCACCTGGGACCTTGGCGGAAGACTGTAGGCAGACTGTTAGTTCCAATGGGAGCAATGCTAGTATGCAGCAGCAAAACGAAAGAGGAATCCAGGGGCCAACAGAATGTATTCCAACATAAGTTTTCATGAGTCAGAGCTCACGTCAGTGAAGCGTACATACATTGAATTTTGGCTTTCGATTCACAACAGAAAGAGGGGATGAGATATTACACAGAGAGGCCAGTTTAAAACAAGATCCAGTCAAGAGTTCAGTCAGAGTGAGTGGGTGCCATTCAGTTAGACAGTGGAAGTAGGATTAATGTAAAATCTAATGCAAGATAAGCATATACAATAGGAAGTTAAAGAAGTGTAGCTGAACTGACATCTATAAGGGGTTGGATATGCAAGATATTAGTAATTGTAGTCAGTGAGGAATCTCAAATCCTTAATAAAACCAGGGGGAGGATAATCTTGACCTTGTTGATCAATTCTAATTTAACAATTTCATGTTGGACTTTCCCTTTGATGTTCCTTGTAAGAGAACTTTTAGATCAGCAATGGAAAGCCCTGGAATATTAACATGTCAGTTATCTAGATTCTGGATATGGCCATTTTTAATGTCAGGTTTGTGTCTTTTCTTTTTTTTTTTTTGCATAGTGGTGTGTTTGTCTGATATAGAGAGTGGAAGAGCATTGTAGACACATGATGCTATGTTGGAGGATGAGCAAGTGAATGAGCCAGCTTTGTCCCCATATTTGCTTAAGCAATGTGATCACATAACCTAATAACATCTGCTAAGTAATCGCTGGATCATTCCCTTCCTCATACACAGTTATATGTTGATTCTAGAACTAGTAAAATTGCCAGTTTATTGTGTGCTTGGAAAAATATGGTGAACTGTACCTGTAAATGTTTTAAATGTAAATAGTAAGTTGTCATGTATGTCTGCATGTTCATCAGTGGTTTGTCTACTTCCTGATTTGCCATAATAAGACTTCAGCATTATTAGAACAAATGGGAGACTTCTTCAGGGTGTGAATAAAATCTTCAGTTTCAAATGGACATGATGCAATAATGATGTGAGGTCCCTGATGCTTCGTGTGACTACTTGAGAACTCAATCACTGTCTTCAAACAGCTGCAATAGTCAGTCTTGCTTTTATCCTGTCCTCCTTGTCAAGAGCTTTGGGGCAATAAATGTGGCTTTCTCAAAGCAACCTGCAAAGTGGGTTTGACAGAGTAAGCAACTGGCAGAAGGTTGCCCATTGATCCTCATGACAGAGCAGGGATTTGAACAAGAGTTTCCTTTTAGTCTGGAAGTCTAACCACTACATACTGGCTCTGGCAGCAAGCATTGCATCTTCAGAAAAAAACAAAATGCCTCAATGCCATGTTCTTGCCTCTTTAAAGAGAAGTATTTATATCTGTTACCCACTCTGTCAAGAAATGTCGCCATTTAATCTTATCATGGTCATGGTTCTAACTTTGTTCCTAGTAACAAATCTGCAAGATGTGAAGTAAATGGAAGTGGTCCTCATGTGCAAGTATTTATTCCTTCTCTCTCTTGGTCCCCTCCTGTCTGTCTAAAGATGTTCCTTATATTTTTTGCATCCCTGAGAACTGGGAAGAGATGGTGGAAATCTCTTTTATCACTGTCTTATCCTAGAGAAACTTACACCACTTGCACTTTTTAACCTGAGAGCAGCATGAAACAAATGTGATGAGGAAAAGTGTTTTCATTATCTTTGCTGAAATAATTTACAGATTGTTAAGTTCTGTTGGCACTGCAGCCTGCTTAAGTTCACCTTTGTGTTCATACCACAAAATCACTTGGCTGTCTGCAGGCTCCGGAATGACTATTTATTTTAGACTCCATTAGCAAATCCCTTTAATATATGAGAGCACAGTTTTTTCTGTGGTTCCTGTAAAAAATTAGTAACATTGATCTGTTTGCCCACAAGTAAGGTTTGGCACTTTACCAAGGCAAAGATAATTCTCTTTCCTCTTTTTCTTTCTGCTCTTGGGTCGCCTTTTGTATTTTGGGAGACCTTTAACTGATGAAGCTGCCGCAAGTAGTTGCTAAAGGTAATATGATAGTGGGAGATTTGAAATATGAAATAGGGCTTGACCTTGCATGCTTTGTTATTAATAAAAGGAAGAATGAAATAATTTTGCACAAATGCTTTAGGTAGGATAGATGTATGTTGTAGTTACTCAGGTTCTAGTTCCCTGTGCTGTATTTGCAAACTTCTCAGAGTATTATGTTGCATCATTTATGTATTAGTCTCTCAGTTTTTTTAGGCTGCACCACAGTATTAATTTAATATTTTCATTTGCTTCCCAAACCCATGATGGGGCACCATTGCAAATTTGGCCCCAGTATGCCTAGCAGCAGGGCTTTTTTAAAAAGGAAGAAAGAAAAGCTTGAACTCTCAAGAGGGAAATGAAGCTTTCAATCTGTATACCTAGCAGTTCGAAAGCAAGAAATTGCAAGTAGATAAATAGGTACCACTTTGGTGGGAAGGTGACAGCATTCCGT